GGGAAACAGTCAACAAAAGTAAAATTATCTCAAAGGTACGGCGCGCTCTCTTCATTTTATCAAATGATCATAATCACATCTATTCATTTTACAATCCTGCTACTAGCATTTTATTCAGACTAAAACCCCTTTAATTCGGGTGAGAAAGCGGGGTTTTTTTTGAGTGGCTTTTGCACATCCTGTCATGCCGGTGACTGCGTGCTGCTGCAATAGACGCATTTTGCAGCATTAAAATTAACGATTAATCGATTAATTGATCGTTAACTTAAACGACGATCGATCATGGAAATTATCGAAAATTGACATCCCTAATTGCAATATAATTTTTTTTTCAGTAACGGTGATATGATTTTGAAACACATTTCTCATATTTCGATATACATTACCAGTATTTCCCATACATTGACTAATTTCACTACTTCGTTGAATAAACATGAACACTACACGTTTCAAAATCAAAATGAGGCAAGGGTGTTTTATATAAATGTATCTTTGAAGGAAACTGAGTGTCGTCAGAAACGTTTTAATGGCATTTTCAATTTATCTGATAAAGCAGGGTTCATTGCTTACAGCAGTTACCGGGGAAACCGCTGTTTCCGCCGCTCCAAAAGCGCCTCCTGCTGGCAGTTTGGATTTTCAGTAAGCCCATCTCCAGCAACGTTTTCGTTGTTGCTCACTCATTTTTTTCTGTTTTCTGCAGCAACTCTGAGATCCTTTTCATATTCTTTATCCTGGTTGAAGCACTTTTGTTTCAATATATAAGAATAATCAGCCTACGTTATAGTTTAAAGTTAAAGATATTAATATTATTAAGGTGAGTATGAGAGCCTTGTTTATTTGACAGTGATTTCACATTTCTTGTTTGTATGAAGGCTAAATATAAATAAAAAGTGAACATTCATTTATCTGTACCATTTTTATTTGTAAAATATTATATAGTTTAATAGGACGAGGTTTCATAGACGTCTATGGTCTATTTGTAGGTCTATCAAGTCTATTTGTAGGTACAGACATCCCTTGTGGATGTTCTTGGCAGTTTTTCTGAGGCTGTTAAAATATTGTTTATATCTGAATTATATCATATCGACCGAAATGAAGAGATATATCGCAATATAAATTTTGGCCATTTCGTCCAGCCCTAGGTTCATACATAAAAGCGTCACTCTTCTGCTGCTGTTATCCACATTGTCTTCAGATCAAATCGCTTTAACTCTTTTTCTCCAGATACACCGCCATAATCTCGGCTTGAAATGGCCAGTCGGTGACACCTTCCTGAACACCAGACCTGTGGTCGTCCACGTCGATGAAACGCCTGATCCAGATGCTTCTGAGAAGGACTTGTTCAAATCGTTTTCCAGCATAAATGGAAGACTCTTCAGATGCATACGAGACATTCAGTTTGAACCCTGATCCCATAAAATGAAACTACCAAACATTCCTGTGAAATCTGGTTTTAACCAGAGTGAAGAATCTTTGCCAACATGTAATACTGGTCAAAACGGCCTATTGCAAATTCCCAAACTTTGCTCATATATGCACTTTGATATGTGATGTGTGAGAATGCTGTGATTTGCTTTATATTTGGTACTTTTTCTTTTCTTTCAGAGAGTGGAAGAGTTTTTAAAATTTTTTATTTATTTAATTCTTTTTTTTTTCTGCTTAAATACGTTTCAGAGGATGGTTCAGCAATATGTTTATAAATAAATGGAACAAATTGACACAGATCGTCATTTACATGTAGGGAGTCAGTGATTGATAGATAATGTAAAAAGGTCAAATCCCTTCAGTTTCAGCTTATTCTAGTAAGGCCATAAATCAAAAATATTGTAAAACCTAACTTTATATGAAAATGTAATATTTTACAAAAAATAAATATGAACCTACTTGTGAAACATTGTACTTGAATATAAAGAGAAGCAACATTTGTACACATTTGGCTCTAACTGAGCAGTAACAATAAAATCGAATGACCTGAAAAACGATCTGATGTGTGTTAGCTGATAGACACGTCTATGGGAACCGCCACTCCAAACTGATCCGACAGCTTCTTCAGCTGTTCCTCCAGGATGATGTTTTTCTTCACCTCCAGATTGTAGTTGAACTTTAGATCCTCAAGTTCCTCAAAAAAAGTTGGGTCAAAGTTTTCCAGCTCTCGGGTCAGCTTTCTCACTTCGTCCTAAAATGAAAGCATTTATAATGTGACTTGAGATTTAAAAACAGCAGAATATGTAGGCATTTTTCTTCAGGGATACCTGTAATTTCTTTTTTTCAGTATTTGCTGCCTTAATTTGTTTCTGGAGATCATTGTATCCTACAAAGGGAACAGGCAGATGATATATGTCTCATGTAGCCACAATACGAATTCTTCAGAAAATCAATGGTGATCTTACCTGGTCCTGCTTTGCTGGTTCCAAACTGCTCATCGTACTTTTGGATCTGGTGAAGTTGTTGAGCTTTTTCCCTCTCGAGTTGTTTATTGGCCAATCTAATTGGGAAATATTTGGCAAAGAATGAGTTTCGAGTCATTTCTTATGCTTTGAAGTCTATGTATATTAAAGCGCTTCACCTCAGGGACTGATACTCTCTGACAAGGCCTTCATCAGTGGTTGCTTCCACAGGGATATTTTTAAGCAGTTCCACCTGTTGATACATATTAGGTTATTAGATCTCTGAGAAAAAGAGCATTTTAAGGCTGGAATGCACTACGTTGGAACAGATTTTAAAACACATTTGCCAACTTTATAAATGGTTACAGAGAAATAAAAAAGACTGAGGGTCACACACTACCAGACTTTCAAGTCATTCCGAACACAACAAACTCAAGCAGAAACACGTGCCTCGTTGCTAGGAGATGCATGACAAATGAAAACAATAAGTGCACTAAAATCAAAAAACAAACGTGTTACAGTAATGGCAGAATATGGGGATTTTAGTAAATAGCTGAAGAAGTGTCTCACTTGTTCCTTCAGCTGGCTGACCGTGTGTTGTGTGGCCTGCTGTTTCTCATTCGCCTCTTTCAGCTGCACCTTCAGTTCTGATATGCTGGAGTTTTTCTTTACGATTTCGCTCTCAAGAACTTTCATCTTGTTTTCAAATAACCTGTGAAGGGAAAAATGAATAATAATAGCTTACATGATGACGAAACTGATTAAGTATTTAGGTAAATGTACTACCTGGAAACAACTGAAGATTTCCAGGCCTTGCTGTCCGCCCCCTCTAAAGACGGCACCTTTGACTGTGCCAATAAGAGCCTCTGATTGGTCTCCTCAAGCCCTGCCTTTAGTTTCTCATTGGCTACTTCAAGGTTGGCATTTGCAACCCTCAGCTTATCTGCAGCTTCTGCTTCCTGCGGTTTGCCACAAAAACATATATACTGTATCATGATATATTAAGAGCATGTTTTACTGATATGAAGGTAATGAAAATTATTTTTTTTTAAAAACAAACCTTTTTAATTTCTTTACGTAAGCGTTCATTTTCCATCATGATTTTCTCAATGCCCTTGGTTTTTGACTCAAGTCTTGCGTTTAGCTGTTCCTCTTGTTTTCCTTTTAGCTTTTCATATTCAGACTGTAACAAAAAGAAAGATGCACATTATTATGCCAAGTAAAAAAGAACTATTTGTCACATCACATTTTTAAACAATATCACAATCTTATTGTTTCCACAAATTATACAGATGCAACTTGCTGATGGTCTTTGCAAAATTTTCTTTCTCTTGTTTTTTTTTACTTAAAAAATTATTTTATTCAGCAGATGCATTATTGATAAATATTGACAGTAAAACACTTATGTTGTTACAAAATATTTATTTATATTTAAAAAAAAAAAGTTCTTTTGAACTTTCTATTTATCAAAGAATCCTAAAAAAAAAATGTTTCACCGTTTCTACAAAAATATTAAGCAGCACAACTGTTTTAAATGCTGATAATAATAAGAAATGTTGTTTGAGCGAATCATATTAGAATGATTTCTAAAGGATCATGTGACACTGAGGACTGGAGTAATGATGCTGAAAATTCAGCTTTGGCATTACAGAATTAATACATTGATAATAATAATAAATTACATTTTAAAAGTATTATAATTGAAAAAAAATTATTCTTAAATATTACTGTTTTTACTGTACATTTGATCAAATGCAGCCTTAAAAAATTTCTTTTAAAAACAAAAAGTCTTACTGAGCCCAAACTTGTGAATGGTAGTGTATCCTCCAACAGGTTCACAAAATGTACCTTCAGTTTCTCATGGTCTCGTTCTAGTCTAGCAAGCTGCTCCTGCACATTGGCCTCTGATGTCTTCTGTAAGCTCTCATTCTCTTTTTGAACTTTCTCCACAACCTTCTTCATCAGTGCGATGGTCTTCTCCAGCTCAGGAACGGTTTTCCCGCTGCGGCCAGACTGCATGAGAAGAGCAAAAGGAATGAATGAAGGAGATGAGAGGTTTAGTGTTTTAAGATCTCAGAGATGCTGCAACCTACCCCACGAATATGGCTGAGCCTCTTCTCCACTTCAGCTTTCTCCTTCTTCAAAACACTGCACATCTCTTTGAGGTCAGACACCTGATCCTTTCATCACAGGGAGAGTAAAGTAAGTACAACAGTTTTTTTTAAATTTATTTTTAGCATGTTATTAATCATTTCGATTTTACTGTACTTTTAATCGAGGCAGGTCCTTGTTTGCTTGCTCCAGTTGGAAACGAAGCTCCAGGTTCTCCGTGGACAACTTGAGGTTCTCTTTTTGGAGCTCATGTTCTCTTTGAGATGGTGTAGCAGAACCACGGCCAGACGTCTGCTGAAACAACAAAGAGATGTTGATGCCATAGACAACATGCAGCTAAATAACACCCAGACAATGAAAACATTTTGGATTCAGGATGGAGAGGATGCAACACATAGACACCATTGCTATGGGGCAAAAGCAGACACTCCGGGTCTGGAAAGGCGAAGTCACAAGCTCAAAGCCAACAAAGCTATGGGGTTGAGAACTGGAAGCTTTGTGCTAGCGCTTCAGTGGGAGCGCCTATGCGTTAAGTACCTTTCGAGCTTTCACTTTGCTTTGTTCTTTCTCACGAAAGGTGGTGACCTCGGATTCTACAGGTCCAAGAATGTTTAAGACATCACTTTTTATAACACCTGAATTCAGCTTTTTAGTGGGGGAACATTTTACGTTCTCACTTAAAACAGGGTCCACGTCTTCCTCACGGATGAAGGACATGGTCTCCTCCATTGATGGTTCTTCAGGCACCACTTTGGCATCAACTGTGCTGAGTGACATTTCTTCTTCTTCAAGCTCTTTAGATGTTTTCAAATTTTGGCTTGGATCACCTTCAGATTTCAAAGACTCTATATGTTGTTCTTCAGGTTCTTGCTCCTTATCTCTGTCTTGTTGGTCATCCTCCAGATGTTCTTTTGACATCTCTGGCTCTGTGTAGGTCCTACTTTCTTCTGCGTTTGTCTTTTCATATTCCAGCTGATCTTCTTCAAGAGGCTTATCTGTCATCTCTTCTGCAACTCCATTAGTCTTCAGTTCTTCCTGTGCATTTTCAGCCACTCCTATATCTTCCTCTTGTCCTCCTTGAGCATCATCTGGTTCCTCTATATCTTTCTCGCCCAATCCCTCTTTTTTGTTGTCTGCTTCCTGTTCACTTTTGTTCACATTCACCAGATCTTCTGGTTCTACATCTACAATGCTCTCTCCTACATTCTCCTTGCTGTTTTCCTCATCTTGACTCACTTCTGCTGCACTCAATCTTCTGGATTAAGTTTGAGTTGCTTTGTCCTCTGTAACTGCTATTTCCTTTTCAGTGATGGCTTCTTTTTCAGGGATTGTGTCATTTACTAATGGAGACTGAATTTGTTCACTTTCACTAATATCGAAAGTCTTCGAATGAACAACTTTTGAGGACCAGCTGAGCTGAGATTGTGATGCCACATGTTTTTTCAGAGATGGAATAGAGGTATGGAAAAAGAAACAGATTTGAAAGGAAGTGTAAGACTGAAATGAATGGGGTGAAATTCATGAAAAGTGTTGAAAAAATGTTTTACGTGTTACACCCACAGATGGTCTGGATGGAGACTCTATGGACAGTTTACTCTCCAGGGAGTGAAGCCTCTCCTCAAGATAACGGTTCCTGATGGTGATATCCTCCATTGCAGCATCACGGGGTAAAGCCTGCTGCTGCCTACAAAACCAACAGTACATATTAAACATTCCTCAAGACAACATAAACAAACGGAACAAATTGGCATGATTGCTAGGCAGAACACACTTTATCACTTTGATTTGCTGCTCCAGTTCAGCGTTCCTTCTTTGTAGCTCCTCAATCTCTCTGTCAGCCTCGAGGGTCCGTACACCAACAACCTGATCTGCGGTCACTCCTCTGCCCTTTAGTTTCTTCTGGAGACCCACCTTCTCCTGCTCCAACCTTCAAAGACATCAGCCAACATAAAAATGATAGGGAATCTTCAACTTTTGTTCTTACTCTTAATAAATGCAGAAGTCAAGCTCACATTTATCGCATACATTTTAAGATTCCTCAAACTGTGTTTTGAAACTGTCCATTATGTGGATGGATTAGTGTCACAACACAGACCTGCTGTAAAGTTCTTTGATCGTTGTTAATTGTTTAGACAGAGATTCCACTTCTTTCTCTTTCTCCTTGAGGACGGTCCGCACTTTCTCCACCCTGGCCTGCCACTTTTTACCTTCCTCCCACCTCAAGATTTCTTCTTTAGAGGACTGCAAATATAGGAAAAATTCACATATATACATGAAAAT